GAATGTCAATTACTCAATTTTGACAAAAATGTCAGATAGAACCTTAGAATTCTAAGGTGAGGATATTTTTTGTCATTACCTTTCTCTCAATGGAATCATCCAGGGAAGCATAGTCCAGACAGTAGCTGTTGATAGCCAGCCTTAAGCATACTACCAAATGATCATAAGCTGTTACCCATGTGTCAGAAATGGTCAAATATCAGACTGGCTGCTCTGTATGTCAATCAAGTGACAAATATCAGTGAGGTTGGATGAAAGGCTGACATCTATTTTTTTTATTGCCATGCAATTTACCCATGCTACCTTTGCGATCCACTGGAAGATCGCAATCGACATATTGTGCACCCCTGCTTTAAACAGTCATGGAAACACTGCATTGTACTGAATGTCTGTGGTTTCAACATTTGAGGAAAAAGATATCAAATATTGACCATAAACATGTCAGCTGGAGTAAATAAGTGACCAATTCTTTCTTATTCTTATTCTTATAGTCTGAACAGTACATAAAAAACGAAAATCTTTGTAGCAGACAATGTGCAAGGCTTTTTTTGAAAAGAAAGAAACTTGATGTAAATAGGATGCATGCTGCATTCGTCCAGTAAAAAAAACACTAACACTGCAAATATGGAAATAAGGATGTCAATCCTGGGGTTAGGAATGTAAAGTGTGAAACATCAGAGTATGAATATTTAGCAATAAAAGAAATTGTCCACTCAAAAAAGACAATGTACTCACCATTCGCTCATCCTCATGGTTTCTTTTTGAACACAGAAGTTATTTTGAAGAAAGGTGAAACCCTGTAACCTTTGAGTTCTGTAATCGGGAAAATAAATACTAAGGAAGCCAATGGTTACAAATTTCCAGCTTTCTTCAAAGCTCATAAAGTTTTAAAACAAGTGAATAATGAGTAAATGATGGCAGAATTGTCATTTTTGGGTGAACTTTCCCTCTAATTGTTCAATTGTAAACAGTGTCATATGTTAACCAACATAAATCAAGATCCATTTTACCTGGGGTTTAGAATGACCCATATTTAAGTAGGTAATGTGTGAAAAAAACAAATATATTGAGCCAATGAACCATTCATTGAGTTATGATTTAAGTAACACCTCTTTAGAGTAATAACAATAATCTTCCACTTCAGTAACTTAATGTTGAACATGTTCCACTGTGCGGTGATTCTTTTAGTATGAATGGACTGGACAGTGTGTAATCATTAGGTGCTTCTCCACGGCATGGATAGCACAGTTCAGTTCAGTATAACTCACTTTAAGGGTTTTTTACTGCCTGGTACTTTTTTAATACCTCAGGTGAGGTTTCAAGCAAGCCTTACCATTACCAAAACGTGTCATATACACACTGATAATCAACAATTGGTCCTGAGAGAATCATCACTACGAGTGCCATTGGGTTTGCAACATGAGACACAATATTTAATATTAATATTTAATATATATCCACTGTTGCACTGTTGGTTTGCACGAAAGAAACCATTTTTATACTATGGCAAGAAAAAAAAAACCACTTGCAGTGGCAGCATTGTGGTCAGTAGAAGAAATACAGGCATTCCTATCCTTGTTGGTAGATGAGGTTGTTTGTTGGGATGACCTAGAATGAAACAGTTTGGAAAAGGCAGTATAGACAGCGCAAGTATATAATCCCACCTACTTTATATGGTAATAAACTACAGCAAAAATGCAAACTGAGGTGAGCAAATCTGAACGGAGCTACATCGTGCTGTACCACATAGTGGAAAAGCAGCTTTTGTATTGAGTTTCCCTCACTCCTACGAGACACTGATCACTCCAGCAGCTCAATCTCAGCCAAATCCACAAGAACAGAGTGTGACTACGTGCTTCACACACCTGTACTCACTGCTGCTTGCTTTACTGCACTCAGCCTGATGCAGATGGCTTATAAAGCCTCCCTCATTAAGCACAACCAAGATTTCGGAACACCATGACGGATAATGTCTCACTCAACGGGCCAGTGAATCATAAATGTGGAAAGGTGCTGTTAAGCAGAATTCAGAAGAAGCTGGTTTCCCTGAAGAGGAAATAAAACACAAGTCTCATCAAAATAAGTCACATCTCTTGAGTCACTGTTTATCAGCTTTGATAAGGATATCAGCTTGTAATCCATGTTGTGGTGTGACTCACTAGAAAGGTTCTGAAACATATTCATTACAGGAGCGCCACACATGACAAGCACTGCAGCGTGAGCCATTGACGGACATTTCCATGCGTGAGCTACTCTATTAGCCCACTTCCGAATGTATCCTCCAGAGTCATGAATACATAAAGATGTAGTAACGAGATAAATGCATTTGCATGCATTGGTGAACACATCTTATTCTGCGTTGCAAACCAGTGTCCTTTTTGTATCTGAGAAAGAAGTGCTTCACATGTCAAGCTACATTTACAGCTGGTTAACAGAAAACGCACAGCAGACCTCAAGGGGATTAATAGCACACTGGAAGGATGGTTTCCTGTGGGCACTTTAAGTAATGAACTGCTGGAAAACACTTTTCAAATTCACTAGTTTGTGTAATTTGTCTGATAACAACATTCAGAAGTATGATGCACGGTGCACAAGAGAGCTTTGTAATTGCGGTCTTATTTACATACAGTCAAGAACATTTGCACCTTAATTTTCACAAATTCTCAAGCTACCGTAGCATTTTGTCTCCTAAATACACACAGCTGAATGAGTGAAAAAAGCAAAGACTAGATTGGTTTCATATGTGTTCCATGTGTGTTTCAAATGTGATTTTGCTGGCCGTTAGCTCTCTGCAACTCTCAAATGGTCGCCCACTGAAGCTAAGCAGGGCTGCGCCTGGTCAGTACCTGGATGGGAGACCACATGGGAAAGCTAGGTTGCTGCCGGAAGGGATGTTAGTGAAGCTGAAGTGGAGTTAGTGAGGCTGGTTAGTGGTCTGTGTGGGTCCTAATGCCCCAGTATAGTGAAAGGGACTCTATACTGTTCAGTGAGTGCCATCTTTTAGATGAGACGTTACACCGAGGTCGAGGAGTAGGGGTTAAACCCCAGCATCCAAATTTGCCCCCCTGGCCTTTGTCCATTATAGTCTCCTCACCATCCCCATATCATAATTGGCTTCATCACTCTGTCTCCTTTCCACCAATCAGCTGGTGTGTGGTGTGTGGTCTGGCACAATATGGCTGTCATCACATCATCCAGGTGGATGCTGCACACTGGTGCTGGATAAGGAGATTTCCCCTAATGCAAAGCACTTTGAGTGTCCAGAAAAAAAGCTATAAAAATGCAAGGAATTATTATTATTATTAATTATTTTAACATTTCTTTTTTTAAATCAAACAAAAAGTGCTCTTGGGTTAGCTCAAATAACATGTTGATGCTCTTTGTGCAAGGGATTCATCAAAACAAACAGCAAAAATCAGTTCAAGGCACTCAAAAGATGTGGAAAAAATCTGAAAAAGCCTTCATTCACATGGTTAATGTTTAAAAAAAACATACGAGTTTCAGCAGAGAGCTGCCTTTATCAGGGTAACAGTGATCAGGTGTGTCTGGAGTTTCTTTTAAATGCTACGGTCTCATGACTCATTAGAATATTAAAACCATACTAAAATAATATATTTAACAAGGTCAACTTGACAATCATTATTAATTCAGCATTGATACAGGGAAAAGTTAAGTCAACTTAAACCATTTGAGGAAACTGATTGCAACAAACTCAAATTAACAAGCTAGAAGTTCAACATCTAATCCTAATGAGTTCTGTGAACTTAATCCATTTGAGAACATGAAGCGATTTGAGCACAGTAAAACTCAATAAATAAAGAGAACTCAAACCAACTACTGTAAAACCCAATAAGTTAGAGCAACTCAAACCGTTTGAGGAAACCAATTGCTGCAAACCATTTGAAAAAAAAAACTGATCTATATGAGTTCTGTGAACTTACTTCACTTAAGTTGAAGTAATGAAGTATTTAATTAACTAATTAGCTTCAACACTGAGTTGAAGACTCTTCTCAAATGAGTAGAAATATCTTTCAATAAATTTTGAGTTAACTACACTCAGTTTATTTGATAAAGTTTACTGTTGGGTTTTATACTGTATCAATAAAGAAAGATGATGCATGTTATTTTAACATAACTGCTTGTGCACTTTCATTCATGGTGTCAGTGTGAACCAGAAACCTCTTGGTTACCTATATATTATACTATATCTTTAAAATCTGCAGCTGGGAGGACATCCGCTGCGTAACACATATGCTGTGGCGACTCCGGATTAATAAAGGGACAAAGCCGAAAAGAAAATGAATGAATTAATATCTTTAAAATATCCACTTTAATGTTTAACACAAGAAATACTGGCTTGGAACAAATGCATTTGACAGATTTTGTTTTGTATTAACTATTACTTTCAAACAATTGTAACACTTTAGTTGAATTACCAATTGACCCTTTGTGATGCCACGCCCATCTTCTCACTGTCTGACATGCTTTTAGAATCAGCCATGCTTTCCCCAAGCAATTTGTGCAGTCCCCAGGGGAATGGTGAATAATTGCTGTACAAATAACAGGCTGATTTCAGTTAGTCTGTCTGTTTTGTTTGTAGGTGAAACAGAGGCATAGAATATCTGTGTCATGATTGGCTGCATTGCCTGTCAATCAAACGACTGCGAAGGGTTAATTCCCATTAATAATTACTGGCTTATTATTCAAACATTGGCTGCTTGTTAATACTTTTAAAGTACAAATTCTGCGATATTAGGTATATACAATACCTAAACCTAACTACTACCTTACTAACTATTAATAAGCAGCAAATTACTATTTTATTAAGCTAAAAGCTTTAGTGGTTTATTAATAGGGATAATGAAAATAGTGTGACCCAAAAAAACACACCAGGCGCACATTGAAGTTCTTCACATGCTTACATGTCTAGGGTTGATGGACAGGGATACTTAAGATTGTGACATTCAGCCATAACTCAACTCTTCTCTCCTTTATTTCAGGGATGACAGCGGCTGCTTCTCTGGTGTCCCTGGCCTGGGCTCTAGCCTCCTACCAGAAGGCCCTGCGTGATTCCCGCGATGACAAGAAGCCTGTCAGCTACCTAGCCGTCATCATCCAGTTCTGCTGGCACTTCTTCACCATCGCCGCTCGTGTGGTGACCTTTGCTCTCTTCGCCTCCGTGTTCCAGCTCTACTTCGGCATCTTCATCGTGCTGCACTGGTGCATAATGACCTTCTGGATTGTACACTGCGAGACCGAATTCTGCATCACCAAATGGGAAGAGATCGTCTTTGACATGGTAGTGGGCATCATCTACATCTTCAGCTGGTTCAATGTGAAGGAAGGACGCACCCGATGCCGTCTCTTCATCTACTACTTCATGATCCTGTTGGAAAACACGGCTTTGAGTGCTCTTTGGTACCTGTATCGCTCACCACCCAGCACGGATGCCTTCGCCGTGCCTGCCCTGTGCGTCATCTTCTCCAGCTTCTTTACTGGCATCGTCTTCATGCTCATGTATTATGCTTTCTTCCATCCTAACGGCCCTCGTTTTGGTCGCTCAGCCAGTTTGGTCCAGCTTGAGGACCCGACTGCTACCTTCACGCTACCCCCTGAAGGTGCCACCAACTCCCTGCGCTCTAACCGCGGAGGAACATTAGCCAGGGACGCTGACCGTGAGGCCAAGTACAGTGAGCGGGACGGCTGCGTGCCCGTCTTTCAGGTGCGTCCCACCGCACCATCCACTCCGTCGTCCCGTGCCCCACGCCTGGAGGAGACAGTCATCAAAATAGACTTGTGCAGGAACCGCTATCCTGCCTGGGAGAGGCATGTGCTTGACAGGAGTATACGTAAAGCCATCTTGGCCATCGACTCGTCTCCAACCCCGCCGCGTCTTCAGTATAAAGACGACACGCTGGTTCAAGAGCGCCTGGAGTACGAGACCACATTGTAGCCTGCGCTGTGGAAACACACGAACATGAACACATTACTGTCCACTTGAATAAACAGCAGGACTGTGGCAATAACGTTCCTAGCGTACATAGCATCTAAGCCATGATGTTGATTGTCATGGACAAGCGAATATAGGCACAACGTGTTTGTGGACAGATGAAATAATCGATCTTTTTTATGCCGTTCTCTCGTTGCATTTTATTTTTTATTACTTCTGTCTTATCAGGGATTATCTGGGTTTCTACAAGTCATTGCACTGGCTGAAATAGACCATAATTAACCCCTCAGTCCTCCTCGGTGTTGTACAGACCTCTATTCCCAGAGTCGTTCGACCATGGGCTGATGTCTCCAAACTGCGAGTGGACATCCGGAAGACTTCATAGTTTATCTCTTGCTGTTACTGCAAAACAAAGGCCTTTACCTTTGAAACCAAGCATCCAATGCACACAAGTGACATTCAAACCAACCGACTACCCAATACACTGGAGAAACAGTGGTCCAAATAACACATTGATGGTACACGCATTCAAAAACATTGCTGATTAGACTCGAGATGTCCTTGTTTAGGGTGCTGTAACCTATTAGTAGTGTTTCATCAGCAATTCTGTACCAGTGCCAAATGCTCCTCTCAAAACTGATTCCATGGTGAACTGTGGCTTAGCCACGAACTGTATATATAAACAGGGCAGCATTTCAACCATCTACTTGAATACTGTACAAAGAACAACAACAAAAAAAAGACAAGAAACGAAAGTATGTCAATCATCACAAGAGTCCAGACCACTTGGGATGACTAAACGGGGAGATCACACGCTGGTTTTCTTCTTCGGGAGAACACAATAGGCCAAGAAAGCACTTCCTGGCAGCTCCCTTTGACGGTCCGGCCTCATTCACCTCACCTCTGTGGGCTGACAAGGATCCGTTTGGTTCACGGCAAAGTGGACCACCACAATTCACAGTGTCCGCCAAACTGTACTTGACAGAACCTGGATGCGCTTCATCTTTTAGGTTAAAGATACAGTGTTCCTCTAGGCTGGGTCAGGTTTTGGCGTGGTCTGTATTGTTTATGCGCACATTTAAACGATAAAACATTCACCTTGCGTCGCAACATGGCCGGAAAGCAGTCGAAATGTACTGTTCCAAACTCTGCAGTGCAAGCAAGACTCGATTGCCAACTCGCGGTGTACAAATCCAAGTGTCAAGGAGACGTAGTTTGCGAATGACTCTCTGAATGACACCGCAGGCCCTATCACTCAACCAATTACATCTGCCTAAAAGAACACTGTATCTTTCAGTCTGCCAAAAGCATCCTTTATATATGAAAGTGTTGGAGTTTTAAACTTTCCGTTCAGTTGCAAGTGCTTCTTTGTGTCTTTATGTCGAATATCCAAAGGCATTTATGGAGACACGGAGATGAGGGCAGAGAAATGAAAAAAGAAACAAGCACAACACTGGTCAAGGGAAGAAGTCTCAGCACAATGATGGATTACTTGGGTTGTTGAGAAAAGCGACAGAATCTAGATGTGCCTATGGTGGATGGTTTTGCGATTTTCGAAAGTGTGGGATAAAATGTTGTTTTACGTGTTTATCATTTTTTATACTCCATTTTCTTTTGGTTTTTCGGTGGATTTACAATGTGTCTTACAAATTAGTTTCTTTAATGGTGCAGATTCATTTGCATAATCGCATTTGTAACATACTCCCATCAGTGGCGAATGAACTGAAAGCGTAGTTGTTTTAGACCGCGGTGATCTGCAACGCTTGCAGACGAACTTCTTAATTGTGTTGCAAATAAATAAAAAAAGAGAATTAAAAAAAAAAGATTAAGATGAGATTGTATGAATCTATAACAAGTACCACAGTGAACGTAGACCTGTATATTTTAGCTATTTTGCTACTTTCCTATCGTCAGCATTTTTTCCCCAATGTGTCTTAAGCTTTCATTTCTCTGTTTGATGAATGATGTTGATACTTTGTCTCTTGGCAAAATTTCCAACAGCCCCTCTAAAAGAGTCCCCTGTAGTCAGAGCACAAAAACACTTGTGTTAGCACAATAATTAGACCATTTTCAATTCTAAATTGCTGCACCACCTGCACAATGCCATTTTTGAAGAAAGATGAGTGGTATATTGCACACTTCTCTAATGTTGCGTGTCTATAATTTTCCAAAGTGTCCCACATTTTTTTAGCTTTGCATTATACCTTTGATATATATATATATATATATATATATATATATATATATATATATATATATATATATATATATATATATATATATATATATATATATATATATATATATATATATATATATATATATATATATATATATATATATATATAT